TCTTTACTTTAATAGGTGTTTGTGATGGTTCTTTAGTAGTGACTAATCTCAATAATACTATAAGTACTTATAAATTGATAATTAAGGCATTCATTATAAGCAGTGAGCGATATAGTGCTGATACGTTTTTCGGTATCATGATCAATATGGGTACGGTTAAGAGATTATTTGTTGGATACAATCAGTATTTGGTATAGAAGAAGATTGAGGATGTTGAGTACAATAAAGCTATCGCTAGACAAGTGATAATCCAATATGATATTGGAGTAACAACTTTTATTGATTCGTTTTATATCAAGCTTTCATTTGGAGAAGTAGAATGGAATGTGATAGAAGCCAATCTTCTATTCTTGCTTTCTTTAGTTGATATGGATAGACTTAGGTTTAAGTATAACAATCTTGATAATATTGCTATTACATTTAAAGGCGTTTATCCTGTATATCAACAATTCAACCATACATTTTTGCTATGGAATGTCAATGTCAAGGAACTGATTAACTATTCCATTGGTAATGATAATTGCTATCTTACCGAAATCGAGTTACAACAAATTCACTGTTGGTTCAGTTATCTATCTGTATGTAAATTCCATAAAATGCTTAAACGCTTTGAGTACGATAAAGATTTTGAAGTAATCAAACAGCTTATCAAGTTTTATTACTATTGTTAAGTCTATAGCAAATCACCCGGCAGATTCAAATTCTCTTTGCCCAATAAGAATTTTGAATTCAATTATACTATACTTGTCGATATACTTTATATCAACAATAATCCGATTCTGTATATTATCAATAAAACCATACGTTTTCAAGCCGCTCGATAGCTAAACAATGTATCTGCGAAGTATACATAGGATAAACTCTGTGAATGCTGAATCAACACATATATTAATCCATTGGAGTATATCATTTATGATACTGGTACTAACTTTGTTGGAAAAGAGTTTTAACAATATGTTACATCAATGTCTATTCAGATAAAGACAGTCCCTGTGGAGGCATATTATTCGATTAATATTGTTAAAAATTTCATGCATTATTGCGAAGATCTTATAAGATTATTTACAAAGAAGTTTATAAACTCGATATTCACAAAGCAGCTATATTCCAGATGGCTGTAAAGGCAATCAATAATACTGCCGGACCTAATGGTTTAGTGCCTACTTTACTCGTTTTGGTACTTTTCCCTGTATAATCGACACTAGCCCTCCAACACCTACTATTCAACAACGTGCTGTTGCAATCTCTAAAACTATGATAGAAGTTTGTAGATTACATAGTTCTATGTAAGTACGAGAGGCTTTGAATATATACAACGGACTCTCTACAATTGTACTTTATAACTTGCTATCAAATAGCAAGGTTTTGATTTAGAGAGAGGGCAATGGAACAGCTACCGGTAAGTGGAAAGGACCTTTTTCACTCATTAGCATGGAAGGGGAAACATGTATTCTTGATCTACCTTATAAACCTACGAGATTTAGATCTACGTCGGTAAAGCCGTATTATAAGTATTTAAAAACTGGATATATTGAGGAGGTTGAAGAAATTGATTATAATATTGATCCCGAGGTAACTTTGCCAAATTCCGGCAAAGTTATATTGTCTCCTTCAGGAACAACAATCACGTATGCAATGAATCCAAAGGAACCTCTCTTGGATTTATTCAAGAACAACTAGATGCTTACACCAATATCTTTCCCGCGAGTGGTTATACCTCAGATTCAAGCTCATATACAAGATTACTACCCCGAATGTTTTACTGCTGATCCCAAGGATCCCATTATGTATAAGGAATCCAGGAAGAAAGAGATTGATGGATTGACAACTAAGGGTGTATTCGAGGTTGTATCACTTTTGGATGTTCCTTTTGGTACACATATTTTTAAGTTGCGATTTGTCGATGAGATTAAAAACAAAAGAACGGATACTAAATTCCACAAGTTGAGGTTAGTTATTCAAGCATATAATGATGTTGATAAGATGTTTATATTGATATAATCCCCGACAATTCAACAATCGTATCAACACATTTTAGTCTCACTAGCTGCGAGTACTCGAAAACAGACACAGAAGTATATATTCGAGATATCACTCAGGTGTATACTCAATCCATTTCGAACTTACATCGCACTTTTTATACCCATACTCCAAAAGAAATAAATCTACCAACCGATATGATTTTACTTGTTGTTAAGTTATTATATAGTATTCCTAAGGCAGGAAACCATTGGTTCCGGACATACCATACTCATCACTGCGAGAAGCTTAAGATGTAGCAATCCACATATGACCCTTGTCTTTTGCATACTAATAATAAAGGAACTGGATTCAGCATTATAGAGCTTCAGACAGATGATACACTCATCATTGGGAATAATGCATTTATACAAGCTGAGAATGAGCAACTCAAGCAAACTGGCTTTATAACTAAGGATCGCAAGGAACTCACTCACAATCATCCATTAAAGTTTAATGGTATCACTCTTACACTCAAGAATAATAATATTCATCTTAATCAGAAGAGGCAATGCGACAATCTATAGCTCGTATCTACAAGATCCATAGATATACATAATACACGTGGCAAGGTTCGAAAGCATGCTTCTACACATGAACAGTATATTGCACAACAAGCCTGTGGAGTATACATTGCAACTATATATCAACCCGAGGCATTTTTCAATCTATCCATAACAGCACAGACAACTCAACCTGACAAGAATGATATTGCGACATTAAACAAGTATATCAAATAACAAAAAGAAAACTCTGCCAAAGAATTCAAATACATGCCATTTGACTTAGATTCACTTAAGATTGTTGTCTTTACTAATACCTCTTTTGCAAATAATAAGGATTATTCGTTCCAAATAGACTATGTAATCGTTATGATGAATAAACACAACAATACTAATATCATTTATTAATCATCCATTAAATGCAAAAAAGTTATACACAATATTTTGGCATCCGAGCTATATAGATTAGTTTAGGGATTCAACATCGATATAGCAATCACTTCTACAGTTAACGCTATTCTCGGCAAGGAGATTCTATTAGTTTTGTGCACTGATTCTAAATCATTATACGACCTACTTACGAAACTAGAAACGACTAGTGAAAAGAGATTAATGATCAACATCATGGCACTACATCAATCCTACGAGCGGAGGGAGATCGTTGAAGTGATCTGGATTGATGGTCCGACTAATCCGGCCGATACAATAACAAAAGGAAAGTCATGTCAAGCTCTTACTGATCTGATCAATACGAATAAGATCGATATCAAGGCAATGAAGTGAGTGGAACGGGATTAAAGGAAGGGATTGGTTCTGCTGGTAAGAGGTCAGGGACTTTAGCCAGCAGATGGAGGATTTTATGATTTTACGAATTTCTTTTCAGCCATTGTATTTGAAACCATAAAAGAAAGTTCCGAATGTATAAACAAGGGAATTCACTTCAAAAGAATGACTTCAATATAATGGCTACTGTATCAAAGGTATTTAGGCAAATGTGAAGGAGACTAGCTCTTTCAGTAGTGTCTATATAAGGCCTACTACTTCCTCTCATTAGCTAGCTCTTTAGACAGAATACAATACAGACATTTAGGGGCCTACTAATGATAGTGGGAACCACGTCTCCCGTATTCCTGATCTCATTATTGAACCAACAGATACCTTATTCTGAATCTCTTATTCAGTAAATCTGAGTGAAAATAATTATACTTTGAATTCAATCTCGGTGATTGATTTAGTTATAGCTATATATACTTCTAGCTATTTCTATATTTATAAAGATTTATATTTATAGAAAACTAGCTCCTTTCTAATTAATACATATTGAATAGATTTGTACAAAACAGAGATAAATATTAGAAAGCGACCATCTGATAGGGTTTATATAATAGATCCATTATTCCGAATGTATTCAGAACACTTCACGCTTTTATGGGTTAGTAGTAAAGTAGATCAACCCTAACACTCATAATTATAATTTGTAAAGAAAATCATATAAATAAAAAGTATTAGATAACAATATTTAATATAATAAACTTCGTTAATATTATAATTAACATAAGAGAGAAAATGCGAAAGGCGATCAATTAAAAATCTAATACTCTATATTATATAAGTATAATAATATTAATAAGTGGATAACACATAGCTATTAATTAAAATATACTATAAACTTTATTTTGAAGATGTTAATATTATAATTTCTCATTTTCCAACTTGTGAAATCTTCGGTCTGTTCTGGCTATAATAGTGATGATGTCAAGTGACTTCGCATAATAATTTTTTTCCCATACTGACAGTGAAGAGTAAAAGCGTGTTAAGCTGTCAGCCGATCTTGATCGAGTGCTAATATATGCTCTAAGTTCGGTAATATGGAGTTAACACTACGCAGGCAGTTTCCCTCTATATGAAAACTCAACGAAGATTAAAATTCACTCTGCCGTATAGCAAGAAGTATCGAAGTCAGCCTAAGGTTGTCTGAAACTAAAAGCAGTATATCGACTCTATTACAACATTGTGCAGTAGTCTTCTCTTCTATCAATACATCTGCGCCACTAGAGCACTTCATAGTACTGACTCAATCTCATCCCTAACAGTTCTATGTCATACCAGCCTATGTTACCAAGGGACGAGTTTGTGAGTATTGCTTAGGGAAATCATCAAAATAACAGACAGCATTGATAGACTGTACCATGTTTTAAGTATCAAATTTTAGTAAAGCAAAGCTTTTTATCATAAAGTGTAGTACAGTCACTTAAAGTGCGTAATTGCAGGGTATCACGGACGTAATCACGGCTTTAAACATATGAGATTCAAGCACTAGTTGCTACTATCGCTCCATGAATATAAAATCCACTTTATGGAACTTAGATAACTTTAGTTGGTGAAGAGTTTGTGTCAGGCGGATAATGCGGACGTCGCAGGAGTCCTATATCTCAACTTCCACTCCACGTCCGTGCCAGCAGAAAAATCTTGTCAAAAATGTCTACTGATATTTTGCGTGATGAAGACCACATACAATCCAGGTCTATCGCAGTCATCACCTGCAGCACTCGTTCCTCCCGCATCGGTCATTTGATCGCACAACATATCATCGTCGAACTTGACTCTCATCTCTCCAAGCTCAAGAGAAATGATCTTCATCTGTCTCACATTGACATGCTCTCGCATCCGCTAAAACTTCTCGATGAGCCGGGCATACCTTCTAAATTTCCAGCAACAAACCCAACTGCACATTACACAAAGGCACACACTCGTGATTGGTCGATCGAAATTCTCAAACACAGTGCTTTCATTTTCGTCGTTCCTCAGTACAACTGGGGCTATCCGGGGTGATCAAGAACGCTATGGACTATCTCTATGATGAATGGGCTGGAAAGCCCGTGTTTGTCGTAAGTTATGGAGGACATAGTGGAGGCAAGGCCGCAGCGCAGCTCGTTCAAGTGTGTCAGGGGCTTAGAATGAAACCATTATCTCAAACTGTGGGATATCGGATTGATCTCGTGGAATCCTCTCAACTCTTAGAATCCGGTGAATTTTCGTCAGAACGACTACATATTTAGAAATCTGAAAATATCAAAGATAAATTGCAAGCAAGGTTCTTGGAACTTGTTGAATCGATGCAATAGCTTTACATACATCGATCTATCTTTGCAAAGATCTGGGACATAGAATGCACACTATGCAGTATTCAAATTAAGAGAAAAAAATCGTATTGTGCGTTTATAGATTGCTTTCATGATTTTGTAATTTGAGAACATCGCGGTTTGAACTTAGCTTGGCCTTAAAAGTGTCACCGTGTGAAGGAAATGGCATTGAAAACTGTAGAGATCGAATAGTTTCAAATGATGTTGTGAACTATGAAGAGAGAAGAGAGTTAAGCTACGAGAAGAATCTACATTTATACTCTCCTTAACATCTTGTCATGTGTGCCCTTGATCGAAAGTAGGAGCAAAGAGAAGTCACATTGTAACCACGGGGAGAATGTAGATATGCGACACGTAGGTACGACTTAATGAAGTGGCGGTTGGACGAGTGATCCATGTCACTTCGCTAACCCCCGCATTCAATTACCCCGATGTAATCTAGAGATTGGTACTCTCAAACTTCAAACTTCATGTATCAATTGAAGACCCTATTAATCCGACTTTTGTTCCACTTATGGTAGAATATTTAACAATTTATCCTTATGAATCGCGATCCGCCGAGGTATCTCTAGATGATGCACCCCACAATAGAAGCACGTCATTGACAACGGCAAATTCGACATGCCAATGTACTCGACCCTCCTATTGGCGAATGGACTTTTTTCTTCGGCATTATGACATTTTCAAGAAGTTTGACCTGGAGCCCGAACGTATTCACTATATTTGCCGATCTATGGATATGTGGTTAACATCTCCAAGAAGTGACATTCCGTTTAAATTAGCAAATAAAACTACAAATGCTTGAACCATGAAAAATTACATAAAGCAGAGGCTGGCCAGTAATGGTCGTCATTTTACTACTCAAGAATTATCTTCCAATATCCTTCCAAACGACTCATTTGAGCGTTCAACTACCCTCAAAATGCGTGCCTCACTCACTTCCCTTATTACTCTATTTATCATTACGCTTGCTAAAGCATCCGTTACTTGCGTCAAGGTTGGGGCGACAGCCAAAGCCACATGGACCAATTCAGCTGGGAAGACTTGCACGTGGACAGGAACAGTTGGAGGCAACTTTGGAACTAATACAGTCAACGCTGGAGAGTAAGTTTTTTGTCTCCAAGACTGTTCATATAAAGCATGCTGACCATCTTGAAAAGCTACAGCTGCAATGGAAAATGTGGAGCAGGTTGCACTGGAACTGCCCTTGGCAATTACTAGTATGTTGAAAGCTAAATTGAATGCAGTAACTTCAGTAGAACTTTTCATTGCTAACGAGAAAAACTTATAGCACACAAGACTGCTGGAACCATGACATATGCTCTTACTTCAACAATGCCTCAGGTGGTGCAAGGTATGATCTGACATGTATTCTTGTGTCTCATCAACAACTTACTAAATGATACATAGTGACGCTAATTGTGGTTCGGCATATACTGCGGCAGAAGATGACTATCTTCTTGGTGGAGTTGATGGATGTACTCAGACAAACCCCAGCATCTCAGCTGTTGTGCCTACCACAAAACCTGTCTGTGCTTGATGCACATCATGTAAACTAAACAGGATGAACTTGAAAGAGGGTCATGGTTCGCTATGAAAAAGTAGTAAATTAAAATTTGGTATCATATCAATAAATCCATTATTCTCCAACAGGCTGCTGAGCCTTCAAACAAATTCCGCAGCCTTACACTTTCATCGCACTCTCACAATACAAGGGACTGACACCCGAACGGAGTGTAAATCAGCTTTCTTCCTTGTTATGGCTTTGGCTCTTCCTTTTGGCCACCCCCAAACATTCCTCCAACAAATCCACCTGCGCTCTTAGCACCGCTTGCCAAGCCAGAGCCAGCACTCTGTGCGCCACCCAAAACTCCCTGTCCAGCACCCTTTGCATTATTGATGATTGGATCGCTGATGGCTGACGTCGGACCGCCGTAGGAACCATCTTCATCTTTTCCATTCCGCTCCATCCTGTTTATGCCCTCTTTCCCAGCCAAGTTTCCAATTGGAGCTAGCAGACCATTCTCCCCAAGCTGATTGCCGACAAGGTTATGGACATCGTCTTGTATTTGGTCGATTTGTGATACGCCGGTGACTTTGGTCTTGCTGAGGGCATCTATGATTATCATTAGCTAAAGACCTTTTATCTTAAGTAAAAGTCTAGGCCGACCAACCCTTTGTCGCATATGATGCCTTGTTGTCTCCTTTTCCGAACCATCTCAAATACTGGTCTTCAATCCATGGCATCCATTTCTCATATTGATCGTTGTATGCCTCCTTTACCCATTCCGTATATGTTTGCTTTTGTCTTTGTTCCTCGGAAAGACTCTCGTAGAACTGTTTCTTCTGTTCATCCGTATGCTCAGGAGCAGCCATGCCTGTCGCATTCTTTAAGGACTCCATGATGTTATTCTAAGATAGAAGCGGGTGTGGTTCGGGTGTGGTTCGTGTAATTTGGGGTCTTGCGTAGGAGTGTTTAAACTGTGGTATGGTTTGAAAAAGTTAACAACAACAGATAGTGACAATGTGTTTTAATATGGCGAAAATTATTAAAACTGATTTGAAGTACGGTTCCAGATATAATGAGAAATTCATTAAGATCCCAAGGACTCAATGACGTAGGTTGTCATATCCTGGTCGCCTTGTGATCTGGTGTTGGAAATCCTGTTTTGCCATTCAGGGATACAGGGTAATCAATCAACTCGTTAATCAAGATTCCACGGGAACGGCGACGAATCAATCTCCATGAAGAATACCCAAACCCAGGCGACAGCCACATGAAGAAGACATTTCTGGTTTGCAAATGAGATCTAGAACATCATGTGGATATGTAGCAGGGAAGACAAGAAGCATTTTGCACCAGCAAAAGCCACCAGTTCCATCTTCAACGAACCAGCTATCCTCACGGGAACCTGTGATATGACATTTCCCATTTCTTAAAGTGAGGTCATATGTTTGAATTTCTTGGTGTTGAAAAAAAAGGATCTTAATTGCGCGTCTGCATGTGAGCCGAAGAAGTATCTCGAGCAGCTAGGTACTGGTAGGTTGACTCGTAGGTTAGAAAAAGCCCAGAAACAAACCCCATTGATTATGGATGGTTGTACATTGTATATCCGCCGACCCAAAACGCCGTGAGGATAAGCCCGTGAACGCCTCGACATTTTCTCATTACCATCCACCTCTGAATCCTCTTCCCCTGCCTCTAAATCCACCTCTTCCCCCACCGCGTCCTCCATATCCACCCCCTCTGCCGCCGTATCCACCATCACCATAACCTCCATCGTACCCTCTCGGCGCCGAATTGTGATCCATGTCATCAGCGCTAGGTCTTGATCTCCTCATCTCCTTCGGGAATGCGTCGTATGTCTTCCTCATTTGCGCATAACCTAGATGCATTTTCCCGTAAAAATGGTCCGCCAATCTTCGATCGTTATCCAGCCGACTCAAATAAGCTCCGCAGACATCACAAACTTGTAATTTTTGATGTCCTGAAGGCCCGCTAGTATCTGATAATGCCTTCAGCTCCTTCTCTTTCTCCGCCTTTGTCTGCATAGCCTGTCTTATACGGAAGAACTCTTCGTAAGCGCGCGATACCTCCGATTGTTCTCCCAGAATCTGAATTTCTAATAGACCTGACTCGATGGATTTTGATAGATCAGATATCTGTTTAAGAAGGGCGTTTGTTTGTCGAATTTCATCGGGTGTTTTCTCCAAGCGTCGCTGTGCGACATCTATCCTTCTATTACATTCATCAATGTATTTCTGTAAGTCGCGCATGTAATCGTATTCGAAACCCCATTTCTGTTTTTGAGGTGGTGTTGCAGTTTCAAACTCCGTCTTTAATGGCTCTGAATGGATCTTTGGACATGGCCCTAAATCTTGTTTCGTGTTTGTGAAAAGATCGTGAGGACAAGTACCGACGAGAAAAGAACGGCAAATCTTTGGATCTGTAATCGAAAGCTGTGCTGCGCGGGAGGATGCTCCAGCGCCCATAAGCTGCTCTGTCAAGAGGGTTGTATTAGTAAAATGATGAATTTTCGATGTTAAAAGACGAATTGAAATTGTGTTCGACGGGGCGCAAACATTTGAAGAGTTAAGATGGGAATTACGACTTACCAAGGAGCTTTCTCTGTTCTGCGGCCATGTTTCGAGGTATATGATTGTACTTGTTGTTGTTTGACTTTTGGAGATCGATAGAAAAAGATATGTAGAGACAAGACAAGGCAAGGCTCGGAGCGGCGGGCAAAACGGAACACGCCGTGATAAGGCTGCACATTCGAACTACTTCCTCAGATTCAAGAGTTCCACGGGTGCTTGTACCTACCTATGTAATGACCCTTTACAACTCAATGAAGAGCTTCTTGACAATATGGCTTTGAATGCCATGAACCCAATGAATAAATTTTATCATATTCTCTTCCTTGTTTTTAGTTTATTATCTACAAGAATAATCGCATCCTCAGATTATCACGAGCAACTTCTTCTACGACCCCTTCATCCTTCATCTTTACTAGCTTCATTCAACTTCCAAAGTAACACAAGCCTCGAATCATTCGAACAACAGAATTTTCGCTATTTTCCAAGATCATTGGGGCAAATACTTCAGTATGCCAATACACGAGAATTACATTTGAGGTTCAGCCTTGGTAGATGGGATGCTGAAAATTGGGGTGCAAGGCCATGGGGTGGTACAAGGGAAGGCGGAACAGGTGTAGAGCTTTGGGCTTGGGTAGAAGCAACCACTGATGAGGAGTATGGTGCTCGTTTTCTAAAAAGAGATTCAACTGACACTTTCTTAGGGCCGATGGTCGCTGGCTAACCTTGACCAATGCATTGTCTGGCCTTTTCTGTGCTTCTCTTAACTTTATCGATTCCACAAGAACAACCAGACCTGTCTTATCATTTCAACCAGTTAATGATCACTCAAACTCCACATTAGCGAATCTACACTTACTCCATGGAACTCTGCCTCGAGAAGTTGTCTGCACAGAAAATCTGACGCCTTTCTTGAAACTCCTGCCCTGTAAAGGCAAGGCTGGTATTTCGAGCTTACTCGACGGACATAAGCTATTTGATGCTTCATGGCAGAGCATGTCGATTGATGTGCAACCTATATGCGCGAGCGATTCAAGTGACTGCCAGCTTCAGATTACACAAACTATCGATATGGTATTAGATATTCAAAGATCCAGGCGCCCGAGAGGTTCGTAAATCGCTACCCAATATGATCAACGTGCTAAATTCAACCCAGACAATCCAATTCCACGGCCTGTACAATTTGAAGATTTGAAATGTGACACGTCAAAATCATATCATGCTGAGGATACTTGCTTCCCTCTGGATAACGCTGCGGAAGAGGAGGATTGGAGTTTATCACAAATTTTTGGACATTCGATGAAGGGATCTTGTCCACTAGCCGATAATGTTGAAGACTCCGTTTGCATAAATGTTCCTCATGCCCGCAATGTCTTCACTTCTGGAGGAGCAGTTGAGCATAAAGATCCCTCTGGATACAGCCGATGTTTTCGAATACCACAAGACAGCGACTTTGAGATGGTATTACCTCGACAAGACATACACGAGAAAGCCCCATTGGAGCAACCCCTACTTTATGCCGAACGCTCATTCATTGGATATGGGCAGGAACGAGGTGGTGTACAGGCCATACTTACAAATCCTTCGCCAACAGATGCAGTTGATTTTGTATATATGGAATCGCTCCCTTGGTTCATGAAGGTTTATCTCCATACTTTAAAGGCCGATACTAACGGCTTGTATGAAGATGTCATACAAGAGATGTTCTATCGTCCAGCCCTGGATCGCAAGAGAGGGACTCAATTGGAAGTGCGGATGCGCATTCCAGCAGATTCTACAGTTATTTTGACCTATGACTTTGAAAAGGCCATCCTTCGATATACAGAGTATCCTCCGGACGCGAATCGTGGGTTTGATGTTGCCCCGGCCGTCATCACCATTAGAAATGTTAGTATTCGGACCACGAGTCTTTTGCTTCCACTTCCAACACCGGATTTCAGCATGCCTTACAATGTTATCATTCTTACTAGTACTGTAATGGCATTGGCATTTGGAAGCGTTTTCAATCTTTTAGTCAGGAGATTTGTTGCAGCCGATGAAGCTGAAAATTGGGACATCAAGGCTGTTAGGATGCGTGTTTTAATGGTTGTGCAAAAGATACTAGCTCGGATGACGGGAAAAGCAAAGTTTGGCAAGGAAGAATAGGACATGATACCCAACACATAATATGAATTTCTTTCTTTCTACTTGTTTCCTTCTGAGAAAAAGACTGCAAAGGAAAATCATCTTGAGTCTGAAGAATTTACAGCTGTATTTATTGGGCCATTACACGTACCCCGAAGATTCTCCGCTAAGTCCAGACTTTCGTTCGTCAAAGTCCACTCATCAACATCTAGGCGTTTTCATCACCAGTTGTGGTTAATTCTCAAGCTTCTCGCCACTTATTACTCTTACTTTGATCACACCATATAGACACGAACTCGATTCACATCTCCTAGCCACTGCTCTAGTCACGGGCGCGGTGCCCATGTTCCGACATTAAGTTCAGAAATAACACGTGCCATGTGGTCGCCTAGACCTCTATCTGGCACGTGCCACAAGAAAATCCAGGAACGCAAGCAGGGTATATTAATCTCCGACCACCAGCTTTCCCAAGAACGATTCTGTAAATACCGGCGTGCTAACAACTCAAATCTACATCATGCACGACCTCGACTGATAGCTTCCTTATCTTGTGATCAATTCTTCACCCAAATTTTCCCATTCTCCCTTGACGAACACAATGCTCCAGCGCGAAAGTGTAATGTTAATCTTTTGAATTGGCGACAATAAATTTTGTGTTCCGACAAGTACACACTAGGTACGTGATACATATTTTACTTAATCAGTTTTGTATCACGATCGTGGTGGTCTAGATCATACAGCATTCACCGTCAACGAAGTCGCTGGCCCTTCATCTCAACTAGACGTGTCTATTCGCGATCTAGGCTTATACTCTTTACAACTTGTTTCACCTGGTAAACTTATGGGGCAGATGCTGTATTTTGTCAAGCTCTCAATGATTTTTACCATTATTCTGGCTGTGTGCGTCAATAGTAGCACTACAACGCCTAGTGCTTGCTACGCTAAAATTGTGAGCAAGATTTAAGCACAGGAAGATCAACTGTTCAGTTCAAAACTGGGCAGCATTCAACATTAATTCATTGAGTTTTCCAAGAAGAAAGAGTACTGGATCCACCAAGCGAATCTATCTCACCAATAGATGTCGATTTCACGTAACAATCTCCTTTGTTGTATCGCGTCTAAAAACACTGGGAATCTTACTCAAGTTCTCTATCATTCTTTTATTGCAGAGTAAATTAAACCCTTTCATCGACATCACTCTTTGAAAGAAAACTGTAATCATAGTCAAGGTCATGTGTAGTTGCCATCGGCAATTATGATGCCAAGAACTTTATTCACCAATCTCTTAGTATGTTCCCCTTGCATTCTATCCGCGTGCCGGTTAAATAAACATATTTCCTTATCGCAATAACCGTGTAGTTTCATGTTCTCTATGTTCAGGAGACCTTATTGTAACGTTACTACAATATCGGTACATCATCCACAGATGGCACAAAGTCGATGGATAAATGAGCACAGATATATACAAACAATAGAATTGAAGATCATTCCCTATCTAACTCGCTGCATTTGGTAAGCTAAGCTATCATGAAATCCTCATCTGGAGATCAACTGAACATTTTAAAATTCGGGGCACGCCGCTACTACAACCTGCCTTCCTTACATTTCTTTATCTGCTATACTTCTCCTTATCCATGTCAGAATTTGCTGGATGTATGAAATAAGGCCGGTGTCGTTCCTGGTGGTAGGCGGTTGATAAACTTCATAGCCAACGAGTGACAATAAGAAGAAATGCGGTTACATATGACCTCCACATCTGTTCTGAAGGTTTCAGTCATTCATTTCATCTTAAGTAACTGCTCAATTTGGAAAGCGTTTGTTCTTACCATGGCTTCGTGCTAGCTGCGATGTGTAAACTGTACCAATCGGGAAGTCGTTCGTGTCATTTAGACGTGAGTGGTGATAATTTTCTCATGCTTCATTGTTATCCAGTCATCCGTTGATATCAAGTGGTAACGTTATATGAATTTTGGCGAATACTGTCTGTATAACTATTAAAGGGGGGATTTGCTGAGGAAGAACAAAGCATCTATCTCTTCAACTTCTTCATCTTCTTTATTACTCTTTACTATTATTTTTACGGCTCAGTGGTTATTCACTTGACGAGTACAAGTCAATACTCTTCCACTATTATATTGACACTAGTGTTTCTACTTCTTCATCTAGCCAAACATGATTCTTATATTCATGCAGTACTTTTTACTGATTTTAACAAATCTTAATATCTTTGTATATTCCGCAGCAATTCCAGCTAAAAATTACGAGTCAGTTAGTGCAGTAGGGTATACTGGTGGATATCACAATGCAGCTTACTTTGTCAATTGGTATGTCTTTCCAATTGGAATTCATTCCTAATAATGTCAAACATGACCTCTAATTTGTTTACCACAGGGCAATCTATGGGACGAAACTATCAACCTCAACAATTGCCGGCTACTAAGCTGACTCACGTCCTTTACGCATTTGCTAACCTTCAAACGGATGGTACAGTGTATGTCAAACTTTTTCTATGATCGATGCTGTAAGAATTGCTCTAACATAAAAATTAGCTACCTCTCCGACACATATTCTGACCTTCAAAAACATTACCCTACTGACTCTTGGAACGACGTCGGAAACAATATTTATGGGTGTGTCAAGCAACTTTATTTACTTAAGAAAAAGAATCGTCAAATGAAAACTCTTTTAAGTATTGGTGGCTGGACATACTCTACGAACTTCGCTGCTGCCGCTAGTACAAATGCAACTCGTACAAAATTTGCCTCAACCGCCGTGCAATTTGTTCAAGACCTTGGATTTGATGGTATTGATATTGACTGGGAGTACCCCGCCAATGATGTCGAAGCTAGCAACTTCGTTCTTCTTTTGCAAGCTGTTCGCTCGGCTCTCGATGCATATGCTGCGCAGCATGCTCTGGTTACCATTCCTCATTACTGTTGCGAGTCCTGCCGGTCCAGAGAAATACAATATTCTCCATTTGGCAGATATGGATAAATATCTTGATTCCTGGCACTTAATGGCGTATGATTATGCTGGATCCTGGGACAATGTCACAGGCCACATGGCAAATTTAAATCCCAGTTTGATCAATAATTCAAGTACCCCATACTCGACGCAAAGAGCGATTACAGATTACATTGCGAAGGGTGTTAGCCTATCCAAGATAATCATGGGTTTGCCGCTGTATGGAAGAGCATTTGAAGGTACCACTGGGATGGGTTTAACATTCAATGGAATTGGTTCTGGGTCATGGGAGGCAGGAGTTTGGGATTACAAAGATCTGCCCAGAGCTGGTGCGTCTGAATACTACTCTTCTGATGTTGTAGGAACCTACAGCTACGATAATTCCACAAAAGAGCTTGTTAGTTATGATAACGTCAAGGCAATTCAAACAAAGGCGGAATACATCATGAGTAGTGGACTTGGAGGTGCAATGTTCTGGGAGTCCAGTGGGGATAGGAATGATAGCAAGAGTCTCATTTCAACGACGGCAGGAATCTTCCCCTCATTGGACCAGACTCAGAATCTATTGACCTACAATGCGAGTGCATATGCAAACTTGGCAGCTGGCATGCCTGGTGTGTAATTTTGCGATGAATGGGGATTGATATAGTGGATCCGGCTAGAGGCAAGGAGGGAGAGATACCTAGGAATGTTGATACCATTTGGAGTATATATGGCGTTGCTTTACTATCATCGTACACGAGGGCTATTATTTTTGATATCATCTGGAGTATAGTTGGGATTGTTTTATTGCTGTCGTATTCGAGAGGATAGTTGATCATGTCACAAGTAAATAGACTAAGAATTAGGTTGTCATATCCACAACTTAAAGAGTGCTCGCAATTTTCAATATCGTGATTAATTTCTTTCTTCAGCCTGAGCCAGACCAAGTCACGAACAGCCATAGACAGCTACGCCATCGTGAGAATTGAGTTTAAGCAAGTGCTGTATCACGATTACTTGAACAATGTATTGTGTGAAGCTATTTGATTCCACAGACCAACTGTACCACAAACGATTATTGTTGATCGCTTGACGCCATGTCGCGTATCAGCCAGCCCCTTTTTAGTTGTCAAATCAAGCTCCATCTACGATATCAACTTTGCTCATCATTTTATGTTGCATGTGTTTCACCCTTCCATCTCTTAACTTGCAATTATGCATTCAATATCTCATTTCTCGAATAATTTTAACAAACAATCTCAGATTTCGAAGACAGACTAATGACACAGCTTCTTCAATCTTATCCGGATTGTTGTAAATATCTATTGAGTGCATCTCTACACTACTCGCCATATAGTGTACAGTTTTCAGTACGAGCCAAGTCCTTGTCCTCTTGTATGAACTCTGTTCAACATATGTCTGGATTTATTATAAGAATTTGTCGTGAAATTGTGACGGACTTGATGTCGAAAATGGAAAATATCCTGATATTCTGAAAATCAAATAAATACGGAGTTTATTGTATGATATCTGGCTATGTTATATAAGAGGTATATCAGACACGAACCTTTCCTAGAATGATTGGACGTGTTGCAGAGGTCACAGACCCGATTAATGTTAGCGATTAAGAAGCATGCACTATAAAGACCTATATGACAAAGTCAATGATACATGTATGTGGTGATTGTGCTTTGGCGATCACTGATGCCTTTTGCTGGTTTTACAACGAAACGAAAATCTGGAATGCAACAATGATTCATCTTTATGCTATTATCCAGTAATGCTGTTCTTGCGTCACATTTTGGGTACCAGTGGGTGCATGGATTGACGGGACACTTCATAACTTTCGAAATTTCTAATAAATTCATTCTTCAATTGTTTGATCTCATCACTCATGATTTGATTGTTTCAAATCTAATGAATGATTGTAACAACTTCCAAGATATCTAATTCGATATATCAGGTGATATTCATGAGTCGATTTTTGTAGTGTCCCGTCAATCCGTACACCCATTGGTGGCTGTGCTAGCGGGAATGGGAGATACTCGAAGTGATCGGACGTTACATCCAACTTCCTTCCACATTTGGAAGGCCTTGCTAGTCAATGATTTGCAGAAGATATTGCAAATCTGAAGAAAAACACTTGTAGTCATTGCAGCGTATCAATTGGGCCATGGATGCTAAGCCTGGTAGGCGAGGCGGACACCCTGAACACCGGACTCGTGAGGCCCTGGGGAATCGAAGAGATTTAAATCACTGAAGATGAAATAGACAGGGAACTATTCAAGGCAAGCATGGACTTACAGTATAAATTAACACGGAAGATATTTAGATGGAAGTGACAATATAACCAAGTACACCGCGAGAACCCCTAGCTTTTAACCGATGCTAACGGCTTGACTAAACATTACACAAAGCCAGTCTTGCTCTTCGCAGATCATCAGAATCTCAAAACGAATGCCTTGTTGTGTTCTCATTGATTACACTTAGGAACTTCAAGGAAAGAGATCAGTAATATGTAGTAAATATTGAAATTACATTTCACAGTGAAGACTCCAGACTGTTCACAGGTGTGGCTCGTGTATGGCTTGCAATCCATGGTGAGAATCTAGGCCCGTGGACCTGGGCATAATATTTTCACCAATCAATGACTTCATAGAGGCGGTCCAACGCTCGACCGACGGCAAGCTATCCGCCCGCTAAGCATTAGTATCTCCCAGTTTTATACGGGTAGATTATCAGACATCGGAATCGGTCTATCTCCAAGGACCGATCAACCTCGGCACAAAGATAAAATGCTCCATAGATAAATAAATATTTTTGTTGGAAGCACCGAAAGATATTTTTACCTGCTGGCTGAAACCTATAAACTTATCTGCATTTGTCGTCAAAACCGCCATGTTCCACAATTTCTAGAAGAACACCCACAAGAGTTTGGAAACTTCGCAGGGTATTAAGATATGGAAGTACCGACGCTTAATATGAGAGACGCCGAGCCGCGGTACATTTTGTACAGAAGCTTCAGATCGTGAAGTGAAATTATCTGGTTGAAGGAACAGCTCATGATTATTCCCTTTCTCTCCTGCCAAGATGGAGTATTATCCTATTTTGTATCTTGCACCCTTTCCTCTACACCGGGAACTTTTTCTTCCATCGCCTTTTGAAGTTATGATAATAGGAGAATATTTTCCTATGCCTGCTCAAATCACTCAGTCTAAGTCAGCTACTGCCTGGGCATTGAGTTTGGTCATGCCCCTCTCATCTATACCACATCCAATCCTTAACCTTGACACTAATAATAAATGCTGGGTATGATGCACCACGGACCCAAAAACTTTGAGCCACATCATATCGAACGACCACCGACTCTCCGATTCAACAAAAATCTGCACAATAGTTGTACAAGGTCCAATTACAATATCTGCTACCATACCAGTGATACTCTATCAAGATGAATAGATCCGCTATTCGGCAATATGTGAGATGCGTTGTGGTTTCTAGTCCTCCCCATCAAATTACGCAGTCTTGTTTCCGTGTGCCGTGATCATCCAAAGTATATATATTGACTAGGCAGTGTCTACTTCAAACATCATTGCTCCAACTTCTCATTTGAAGCTTTCTTTCAATATAAATCTGCCACTCATTTACATTATCTGAATCGCAGTATTTAACATGGCCGAGTTGGAAGAGATACCTGGACCTCCTGGTCTTCCTTTCTTGGGGAACGTTTCAGATGTTGACCCCGTCAATTCAATTGCTAGTCTTGAGCGTCTGGCGGAAATATATGGTAGGAATGAGAAGGTTCCCCATAGCTTTGGTTATTGTCGCTGACCATATGTTTTCTTGCCACCAGGTCCAATCTTCAAACTTAATCTCCCCGGTGGCGAAAAATTATACATATCCACACAAGCTCTCCTCAATGAGATCTGCGACGAGAAGAGGTTTGCAAAGACAATAGCTGGAGGTCTAGAGCAAGTTCGCAATGGTGTTGGTGATGGCCTCTTCACTGCAAGGCATGGAGAAGAAAACTGGGAGTTGGCTCATCGAGTTTTGATGCCAGGTTTGTACCAGCAGTCTCAACAAATTGTTACGAGCAGTTAATAACTTTACAAGCATTCGGTCCCCTATCCATTCGATCTATGTTTGACGAAATGCATGATATAGCTTCACAATTAGTGATGAAATGGGCTAGGTTTGGGTCAAAGGAGAAGATTGATGTTACCGATGGCTTTACGAGATTGACGCTTGATTCAATTGCCTTGTTAGTATCTACTTGTCTTGACGATTCCATTGGCAGTTAAATTGACTGACAACTCAGATGTGCAATGGGAACCCGTTTCAATAGTTTTTACCATGAAGATATGCATCCTTTCGTCGATGCCATGACTGCGTTCCTTCTCGAGTCCGGTGCTAGAGCGCAAAGACCTGCGATTGCCAACTATTTTATGCGTTCGGCACAAGCCAAATACGATGCTGATATCAACTTGCTTCAAAGTGTTGCTAAAGAACTTTTGGCTGAGAGAAGAGCAAATCCAAACGATAAAAAAGATCTACTAAATGCCATGATTAACGGCAGAGATCCAAAAACTGGCAAAGGTCTTCCAGATTCGAACATTTTGAACAACATGATTACCTTTCTCATCGCCGGTATTTTTGGTTTCCAACGATTTATTCAGTTACTATTCTAACAAGGTTTTTAGGTCACGAAACAACGAGTGGCATGCTCTCATTCCTTTTCTATCATTTGTTGAAAAATCCTTCAGCATACCAGGCAGTTCAGCGTGAAGTCGATGAAGTCGTAGGCAAGGGACCCATCACGATTGATCACATGTCAAAACTCCCGTATATTGAGGCCTGTCTCCGAGAGACGCTGAGATTGAATCCTACGGCACCCGCTTTCACGGTCTTTCCTTTACCTGATTCAACTGAGTCGCCTATCATTCTTGGCGGTAAATACGAAGTTAAGCCAGGGCAACCTATTTTTGCTCTTATTTCTGCTGCTCACCGTGACCCTACTGTCTACGGTGACGATGCCTCCTCATTCAAACCTGAACGTATGCTTGACGAGCCATTCAAAAATTTACCGCCTAACGCCTGGAAACCTTTCGGCAATGGTATGAGAGGGTGCATCGGAAGGCCTTTCGCTTGGCAAGAGTCAATTCTCGCCGTCGCTATGCTCTTACAAAACCTCAATTTCAGGATGGATGATCCAAGTTACAACCTTCTTATCAAACAAACATTGACTCTCAAACCAGACGGATTTTTCATGCACGCCAGTTTGCGGGATGGCGTTGACCCTATTCACCTCGAAAAAATGTTACATGTTGATGTTTCAAAGGAACGTCTGTCAGAAAGCGATCAAAAACTTGCCAAGGTCTTGAGCAATTCTGGAAAACCAAAACAACCAATGTCTATCTTCTATGGTTCAAACTCCGGAACATGTGAAGCTCTTGCTCGAAGTCTTGCAAGAGAAGCCAGTGGACGTGGTTACGAGGCTCAAGTCGACCCTCTTGACGCTGCTGTAGACAAGATTCCCAAGGATCAGCCAGTAATTTTGATATCTTCTAGTTATGAGGGACAACCTCCTGATAATGCCTGTCATTTTGTTGAGTGGTTGGAGAACTTACAAGGTAGTGAACG